CAGCTCCTTGCAGTCACATGTCCTCCTGGGAAGGATCTGTGCCCCCCAGATCTGTGCGAGGGGTGGGGATGGGGGCAAGTTGCCCTGTGCAGGCTCAGTCTCCCTCCCTACTGTCCTCCCCCCAGCCTCTGCAGCTGGGCAGGTGCAACCTGGCACAACAGGGCCGCACAGAGGGCTGCACAGGAAAGCTGCTTGCTCCTGTGAGCTCTGCAGTGCCCTGGAAATGCATCCCTTGTGTGCCCGGCAGCAGTGAGGGGCACAATCCCATGCTGCTGTGCCCGCATGCAGAGAACACACTGCCAGTGTAGTGTGGAGCTTGCAGAGACAAGCAGCTGTCCTGCATGACCTTGATGTGCACTGCACCACCAGATTGAACCTGGTGGGCTGTGGAAGCCCTGGGGGAGGGCAGCAAGCTGGGAGCCTGAGCTTGCAGAGGGCAGCTGACACGTGCCCCCACCCTGTGCATAGATCTGCAGGGCACGGGTCTCCTCTGTCCCCTGGGAGTGTGCGCAAGGGCAGGGAGCTGTCATCTCTCTCTGCTGAAGCCCACAGCAGGCAGGCAGCAGGAGGGAAGGAAGGGGAGAGCCAGGCTCTGCTCTGATGCAGGAGCTGCCACCTCCTGCAGGGGAGCAGGGGGCTGTGGACCCAGGTCCCTGGCCTTGTAGCCCTGGCAGCTGGGTGCCCCCTCTAGCAGGGCTGCAGGGGCCTTTCATTTTAATCATGGATTTGGGGGGGGTTTATCAGAGCATTTGTGACTTTTTATCATGGAAAACCAGGATCCCTGGTCATCTTGCACTGCAGATGAAATTACCACAATCTGATAAGCAACATTTTTGAGCATCTCCAAGTTTGAGGCTGTAAATATTTTTAAATAAGTCCCATTTACAATTTGGAAAATAAGAAGATAACACACATACAAGTAATTACACCTTATTTAAGATGCATATTCACAAGGTGCAGAGAAAACTTATCTGTACTTAATGACTGCAAATACAACCGTTTCACTTGATAAAATTTAATGGATAAAAGAAAAATATTTTTAAAAGCATAATAGTGGGGAACACACATTTCTGGTTAGGAACAGGCTATGATCAAAGTTTCAAGAGGCAAAGACTGGGCTGTATATCACACATTCAAAATGGTACAACAATTTTTTTTGATCAGAAGTTCTGTCTTACCTGGGACTTTGTCAACAGATGCAAAAACTGAACGCTGTACAGTAGGGTCATTGCTGCCACGTCGTGACTGGTCATAAAATCTAAATGGTAGGTGCTGGGATGTAGATGAAGAGCTATGTCCAAAACCCATCACCTCATTTGAAGGTTGGACAGGAAGATCCAAAAGAGCTATGTAAAAACAAAACGTTTTTATTAACCAGATCTACAT